CAAAAGCCATGTTCTAACAGGTAGTCTGCCGCACTCTTGGGTCCATAGGAGCAGAATATTTCGTCGCCGGCTTTGTAACTTTGTGCTGCAATGATTTGAGCTCCTTTCGTCATCTTGAATGGGCCCATCATGCCACGTGTGATTTCTTCTCCCTCATCATCGTGGTTGCACATGTCCATCAATGGTAACAGCCGCAACGCACTATCGACAAAGACGGCCCGTGACTGTGCCAGTGCCACGGCCCAGCGAAAGCCGTCTTGGCTAAAACATGGTCGTTCTTCGCCATTGATCACGACCGTTTCTGGGAGTTTTTCGTCTGTAAAGACTCGCTCACTGAGCCACGCCACATCCTCTTCGATATCATCCAAAACCCGGTAAATTTTGTTTGTCGAGGATAATTGCAATATTTCTTGATCCTCTTCGGACCATAGGAGAGGGTGGCTTTGTTTCATTTCCTCGGGTGATGGCAAGGCAGATACCCATGCCTTCATCAAGGCTTGTACTTCGTCACCGCGAGTAGGCAGCTGTATTCCTTTCTCCGCTGTCCGAGCCAATTCATTGAGTATCAAGAGGGCAATGAGACCAGCATCTCCTGTCCACCCCTCGAATTTTTCTGGCAGCACACCCATGAAGACCACATCACGTGCCACATCTGCCGTCAACATGTACCGATCATCAAGGGGCATTGCCAAGCAGACTTCACCTTTTTTTATGTTTTTGGTGGCAATTAGGCCGAGTCGTCCTGTAGTTGGACTACTCCCAACAGCCACATTGACTGTCTTGGCAACTTCATCCTGACATCCTTCCAAGGCAGTGTTGAGATCTTGACCAACTGCTTCGATCGAGACAGACGAAGAAGCACTGGCTCCCAGGTGAGTCAAAGTGACTCCATGATGATGGTAACTGGTAAAGGCTTGCGATCCCAAGGCTAGAGTAGCCACTAGCGTCGTTCTCAGCAGCATGATCATCATGGTCAAAGCTTCAAAGAATAACCAAAAAGATGAGGAAACAAGATTGTGGGTGAGGATGGCCAAAAAAACACGTCACTTTCAAGAGCAAGATTTCGCTCTGAATATTTCAGTCAAGAGTTCAACAGGGACTCCTCAGTTCGCGTCCATTCATTTCTGTGACAACGGCGGTGTCACTCATCACAGTTTTAGTTGCTGCTGTTGATCTTTGCACTCGAGAGATCCGTTGTAGCTTCCAACTTGATACTGCAGCTCCGCCATTGTTCTAATTGGAAATAGAAACAGAGCTAGCTAGCTTGCTGTCTGTTGTTAGTGTACGTTGAGGTGTGACTGATTTGTTGAAAGATGGCAGACCCAAAGGAAGACGAGAAAGAGACGAAAGAAGATGAAATAGCCAAAGCCGCGGCTGATGAAGAGGAAGACGACGATGAGGACGATGCAGCCAATGGTGATGCTGCCGCCGGTGGGCAAACCAAGAAGAAGAAAAAGAAGAAAAAGAAAAAGAAGAAAAAGGGAGGCGGCGGTGCCAACTTGGTAGTGGGAACCCCTTCCAAAAAACCGCCTGCTAGAGGACTGAAAGAGACGGCCTATACGGACTACTATGTCAAGTACGGACAAACAGAGCCTCCCATCATTCCCGTTGCCGACCTTTTTGTCGGGAAAGAGTTTCCAAAGGGAGAAATACTCCCTCACCCGTTGCCCAGCCAGGCTTTCCGAGAAACATCCGAAGAAGTGCGATCCCGGGAACGCCTCCAAGAAGACCTCTACAGCAAAGTGAGACAAGCTGCGGAAGTTCATCGTCAAGTAAGGGCATATGCCCAATCCTTTATCAAGCCAGGAATCAAGCTGGCGGATATGTGTCGCGACTTGGAAAACAAAAACAGAGAATTGAACCTGGAACATGGTTTGGAACGGGGCATTGGATTCCCCACGGGATGTTCCTTGAATCACGTGGCGGCACACTACACTCCCAATCCAGGAGACGACACTGTACTGCAACACGATGACGTAATGAAGGTCGATTTTGGAGTGCAAATTGATGGACGCATCATTGACAGTGCCTGGACGGTGGCATTCAACCCCGTATACGACCCACTTCTACAATCGGTCCGAGAAGCCACAGATACAGGGCTGCGACACGCAGGCATTGATTCCAGACTTTGTGACATTGGAGAAGCCATTCAAGAGACAATGGAAAGCTTTGAACTTGAAATGGGGGGAAAGACGCTCCCCATTAAAGCCATTCGGAATCTAAATGGGCATTCCATCGGACCCTATCAAATTCATGCTGGAAAATCTGTCCCCATTGTAAAGAACGGTTGTGAGGAGTCTCTCGTCATGGAAGAAGGCGAGATCTTTGCCATTGAAACATTCTGCTCCACAGGACGTGGCTATGTCAATGAAGATATGGAATGTAGTCACTACATGAAGAGATTCGATGCTGGACACGTCCCTCTGAGAATGCAAAGTTCCAAGAGACTCCTCTCGCACATCAACAAAACATTCGGCACTCTGGCATTTTGTCGGCGATGGCTAGAACGAGAAGACGGCGGGTCTTTCTTTGTCAATGGAAACAACGGGCGTCAGACTAAGTACATGGGAGCTTTGAAGAACCTTTGCGATGTCGTACGTAAAATGGAATCGAATCGTTCAATGAGTTGCCACCGTTGGTCATGCAACTTACTTTTACCTTCTGTTCCACCTTCTTTTTTGTCGCGTCTCCGTCAGGGAATCATTCAACCTTATCCGCCTCTCTGCGATACTCGAGGCTGCTTTACGGCCCAGTACGAGCACACAATCATTATTCGTCCATCATGCAAAGAAATTGTCAGCCGAGGAGACGATTATTAGGCAGCCAGCTTGCATGTGCATGAATTGCTTTGCTAGAACGAACGACAGTTGCGCTACTCTACTCTACATTGATTCAAAACTCAAATACATAACAAACCAGCCATTTGATGAATGGATTCTATTGCAGTTATCGCGGATCCGGTAGATAGCTACCGGTACCGGTGCTGTGCTATGATAATACTTAGATAGTTCCGTGCCATGCAGTAGGAGTGGGTATGAGACTTATAGGGTCAAAAGGCAACCATAGCGAGGATATAGCTCAAGCGTATAGCCGAAGGAAACGAAGCCAAGTTGCATCTCCTTCAAGCAGATATTCGTTGATCTTCCGCTTCTGCAATGCGCTTCGTTTACGCATCAAGATCCCTTCACCTTTTGGATCTCTCTCTATAGCCTTTCAGGCGGCACGACCTTGTAATCCGCAGATCCAGGTCCCATCTCCCCCACTGTAGACCTCGAGGTGCCAACGATCAATATCCACCTCTTCCCTCAGCGTGGATAGAGAACAGCTCTGAGACGCAACATGGTGCAATCGAAGAAGTGTTCGTCGTGATCCTCAATTCAAGTTCATGTGGATCTGTAATGGATTTGTTGTGCTCGCTCTTCTTTTCATTCTTCTTCCGCTGCACGAACGCAGTGAATTGATCTTCAAGAGAAGCCAATATCTTGTTGCCCTTTGGGGCTTGCGATTGTGTTTTGGGCATGGTTTTGCCAATATCTTTCCTATTGCGTTGGCTCCAACGGATGCAGATTGTCTTATTATTCCAGCGACGCACAACCAATTGTAGTTCCATTTCCAGCCCCTCCTTCCCTCTCAATCATTGCTTTTAAGAGCGCCTGTTGTTCTCGGATTAAACTATCGGCGGCTTCCTCCACGGCCGGTGATTGAGTCTGTTTTCTGACGGTCTTTTTCTTAGGCTTGAGCCTTCTTCTTCGCTCTTCACTGGGTCTACTGCGCAACGCATGAGAGACCTTTTCCTTCATGTACTCTTCTCCCACTTCGAACCAAAGCTGGAGCTTGGGATCTTTGAGGAGGAAGCGTGACGATTGTCTTAGTTCTCGTACAATTTCCATAGTGAGACGTGTCTTATCTTCTCGTCGTCGCGCTGCTTGGTATTCGTCCTTTTTGGCATTGATCAGTTCTCGGAATTTGGCGTTTCCCTTGTGAGCAATGGACTTTCCCCTTCCACAAATGATATCGTCGGGCTCTGGTTGTAGAATACCCTTCCCTGCTAACAACACAGGCACAATGGGAGGTTCGGAATCATCATTGTGGGTGGTGTTGAAGCCTTGACTGTTGTCGGCGGTGTTCGACATGATACCGGTACGACATTGAATGACGTACGAGGTGCAATGCGAATCTCAGAAAGGTAGTTGTAGTAATAAAGTTTTTATATACAGATTAATTTACCCTATATCCTACCGTTTATACTTATAACAAGAACCCGTCTTCTCGCTGGAACATTTCATCGTATTGATCTTCTCCTAGGACAGAAAGCCCAATAGTATCCTTAAATCTTGCAAGCATGTCTCTCTTTCGTTGTGGCATGGCAAAGTTCTTTGGATCCCAATCAGCTTCTTCAATAAGAACAAACCACTCATGGTTCGACCCTTGATAACACCACGTAAGCCCAGTTTTGACAGTATCCGCCATGAATGTCCCAATAACCACACTGCAGTATATCCCTGTAATTTGTGTCCAGTTGTCGCAGAATTGCTGATAATGGGAACTGCTTACCCTTCATCTTGGTGTTACAACTTCTCCGTCATAAAACCATCTTGGTACTGAAAGTGTAGTCTTGCTCCGTTACATAAAAAGTACGTGGCATAATAGTCTCCATTCATGTTCCACAAGGATAGATTTGACTTGACTGAGAAAAAAGCCGAATCTTGCAGCGTTGTCGAGTGAATAACCATGGGGGTGCAACCATGCCTCACATTCACCTTTCTCACAAAAAGCCGAGATCCATG